CCCCAAAACCCCAAAACCCCATAAGTTAAATCTATAAATAAGTGTTGGAATATATAAATATATATATTTATAAAATGAAGGAAAAATCAAATAGCATGATTCTAAATATCCTTGCTATAATTGTTTTATTATAATTTCATTCTAAAATCGATGCTCAGTATGTTGAATAAAACAGGTATAAATGCTTTAACTAACTTGATGGGGGGTAAAAGGTTTTAAATACAGGAGAAGATACTTCTAATTTTGACATGTTTCATCTCTTTCCAAGTAAAATTAATAAAAGACATATTTATAAATTTAGATGATACTTCAGCATGGAGTAAAAGTTTTGGCCTTGCTTTTTAGGGCTCTTAATATGCCTAGATTGACGGTGGTGAGACTGAGAGTTTTAACCTAAGAAATCCATCTATGCTTAATTTGTGGATTTATATTATTGATGATACCACTGAATAATATATATTCTGCAAACATTATGTAATTAAAGCCATAATTTCACATAAATATCATAGTCTAATTTGGTATTTATCCCAGGAATCTGCTTACTCATAAAAAATAAATTCTACTATGTTAGAATTAAAGAAAGTGTAATGAATATGACGATGCCGGCCTAAACTGGATGGAGCTTTATTTCTTTATACCTCACAGGAAATTTGGTAACTCAGGCATCTCAAATCAATCAAGTTTAACTTATGACATTTCACAATAATATGAGAGGAGTTTCTCCACTCAAAACGTTTAAATCAGTTTACCATGATGACCGTAGATAATATACTATATTTGGGGCGAGATAGTATGCTGAGAATATCTATGATAACTTCTTCTTAGGTAAATCAAATTCTTAATATACATCACAGGATTCATTTATGACATTTCGCTATATGTATCAATGAGTACAGGGTACTCATTTGATTTAAACTTTATAGAAAATAAATTCATCAACTGTAAAACTAGAATGAAACTCATAATCTTATAGATGATTGTACAGGGACCTGCTCAATTTGTAGTCTGACAAAATCATCATGCTTAGAATATGATATATCGGACACTACTTTGCTTTTACATGGATGGGATTTTAATAATAAACAGAAAGCCTATCTTAATTTAGATTCACTTGCATCTCTTGGTGGATCATTTAATTTTTTTGCTACCTTATTTTTCCAAGATGTAGTTATAATTAAGGATTCAGGCTTGGGTGGCGTGAAATTGGCCGGTTCACAAATAAATTGCTTTGCGTAAGTGAAACTATCAATAAATAATCAAACTTATAGTACGGCCAATCATGGGGTATACTTAAATGGAACAGGCTTTGTCTAATCAATGAGTGAACTAACTACTTATTAAGATAGAGCATTTACATTTGAAATATATTTCAGGACTGATATTGGATTTAAAGAAAAGGCTTACTTGGTAAGATTATTGTAATTTAATTGTATTTTAGCTTGATACTCCAAATCTTTCAATCTATTTTGATTAGAATTTGAGTTTAAACGTTAACCTCAATGGTTCTATTGCTAAAATAGAAAAAGCTTTTGATAGCTTAAATGATCTGCACCAGTATTTATTCTTTGGATTCTCCATAATAAAAAGAACTGCATCGAGCACATTAGTCTGTATGTATATCTAATCTACTTTCCCAAAAGAGAGTTGCTAAATAATAGAAAAGTTATATGCTACTAACCAAAATAATGACGGACTTAATTATAGAATGATTAAAATTGGCAAGGGTTTTGATGGAATAATCAGAAGTGCATATATTTGGAGTTATGCAAAGGGTATAGATTCTATGAAAATAACAGCTCTTCCTAAGAAGAATTGCAAGCCTGAATCGAATGCACCGCAACCATTCTGTCTATCATGTGATTCAATCCTTGGAAACTCAAAATGCTTTGATAGTTGCAATCTTACTAATATCGGAGGTTATCCGTGCTTGAATTCTTACTATGATTGCCCTGATTTATGCATGACTTGTGAAAAAAATACAACATGCTCGCATTGCGTTGCTCATGCCACAATTAATCTATAAGATTGTGAATGTGATTAAGGATTTTATGAAAGCATGAATTAGATTACAGGGAGGAAAGAATGCTTAGGTATTTAACTAATTTTATTACTAAATTTATTAATTAGCATGTGATAAGGCTTGTTAAAAATGTAAAGGTCCTACAAGCAATAATTGCACAGGTTGTTCAAAAGGTTATATCAAGGTATTTAATATATAGCTTATTTATCATTAGATAGCAGGAACTAATAATTGCACAAGCTCTTGCTTGAATTTGGGAAACTAATACTTTGAGCCAACTTTAAATTCTTGCTAAGACTGCCCAATTAATACATTCACGATTGATGGAAAAGTTTGTCTGAAAATGACAAATGTAGAATTTAAGAATTTAACAGATGACTACAAAATTGACATCCTCTTTTCAAGAAATGTCACACTTAATTCCTGTATATAAACTTTGCTAATTAATATATTTAAGTGAATGTAAAAGAAGCAATCAAAGTCGATATCAAAGGAGCAAGAGAGTCATATAGTTTTAAATATGGAATGAATATTACAAAACTTAGCAAATTTAATGTTGCCTAGATCATCATAGTACCAGAGACCACTCTTTATGATGATGATGATATTATAGTTAAGATTCGATACTAAGACGCCTTTTTAGATTAGTATGGCAAAGGAGTCCTATCTAATGTCTATACTACAAAATCCAAGTTTTATCAGTATAATTCATCTGAATAAAATTCTTATTACTTGGGATTAGCAAGTCAAATTACGCTTTCAATTTTGATAGCAATATCTGGATTAGCCTCAATTCTTTTTTCAGTATCAATTGAAAGTACTTGGGGAATAATATATGCTATTTAGGTTATGCTTTTGATGCCAGGCATGAAAATTAATTATCCAGCAAATGCTCTCAAATATTTAGATTATTTAGGCTTTTGTATTTTTGATTTTGATAATTTGCAGAACTTGTTCAACTATTTGGTAGTTGAAAAATCTAAATTTGATTAGAGCTACTTTACTTATTATTTATTTAGAATTGGATTCGATAGCAAGTACATATTCAACAATGTGGGAGATTTGATTTTACTGTGGATGCTCGTTATCATGCTATACCCAGTGCTTTTATATTTTAAATTGACTTTGAAACATGAATTTTGGATGTAAGATATTAAATAATTAGGCTTTTGATTTTTTTAGTTGGAGGGCTCTAACAAATTTAGAGAGTTAATATCATTTTAATGGACTTATCAGATTATACTTATTCTCATATTTACCATACATTACAGCATCTCTTATCAATATTGAAGCAGTAATTAGTACAGTTAGTTATTAACATTATAGGGTAACCCAAACAATGTTTTTGCAAATATAAGTCTGCTATTTTCCTATCTAATTATCCTATCAACTTTAATAATTCTGGCAATATCCTTAATTGCTATGCCTTTATTGAGGAAGCATCTAGATAACGCTATGCTTAAGCAATCAACTGGCATTCTATTCTTAGATTTTAAGGCAAATAGACCAATTTATTTAATGTACCACTGGACTTTTGTTTTGAGAAGATTGACTATAGGTTTTGCTTTAGTTTATTTGAAAGATGATAATGAAGCACAGCTTTATACTTTTATCATATCTTCAATGTTTATATTGTTATGGCACTCTGCACTAAGGCAATTTAAAAGCACTTTAACTAATGTGATTATGATTATATGTGACTTAGCTATAATTGGAATAAATACCATATGTTTTGTCTTTGCTGATGAAACTCTAGTAGAAGACAGTTCAAATAAATGGGGTAAAATTTATATAAAGCATCTTAAATATATTTAGGATTTGCCATCATGCTAATAATCACATCCTTGATAGTAATTTGCAGCATTATTCTTATTCCTTGCTACATTTTCAAGTCTCGTTAAATGTATTTGCTTTGGATGTAGAGAAGAGATATCAGAATTAGGGAGGAATGCGAGAAGAAGTATCTTATAACTGGGGCAGAAAAAAAAATGTTTCAAAATCCATTGAGCTTTGTAATGATATCTTTTAAAGAAATTAATTAATTCTTAGAATAACTAAAAGATATATATAACTTAAAAGGAGAAACATGAATTGCTAGGTGAAAATCAAAGGTAAGGATATTTAACCCTTAAATTAGTAAAGTTAATTGAAGGTTAAAAAAAGTAAATCTAAGTAATAAGTTAAGATGCAGAGTCTTAAAGAGTATCACTATTTGAAAGAAGAGATAGATAATGATTTAGACTTAAAAGAGTAAAATGAAAATTATTAAAATCATGATTAAGATTTCAAGAAATTAACTTGGTCTAGAGTAAATATATAAGAAAGAGTGCCTAAATCAAGAGCATCAAAGCATATTGCACATTATCAATAAATAAAAAAAAATGTTAAGAATTAAAACCATAAAAAAATAAGTTTCGATTTTGATGAAATAAGCAAAGTTAATTAATAAAGTCCTAATAAAGCAAAGAGTTAAAGTAAAACAGGTGATATTGATTAGCTATCTTTTGTAGACTATAACCAGAGTGCTGATGAAATGAAAAATAAAAAGTTAGATTAAATTGTGAGAGAAACAAACGATCACTAAAATAGTTAGGGAAGTAAAAAGTAAAAGTAGATCACTAGAAAAAAGAAGAAACCAAGTAAGGCAACAAATGATGGATTTCTTTGATTATTAAGAGATCATCCTTAGCTTTTATTAATTAATTTATTACTAGAGTGTATATTTAATCTGGAACGTTGGGGTTTTGGGGTTTTGGGG